TTTTAAAAAGCAACCTCTTTACCTAGGTTGAAGTGGTGGGTAATCAACATGATGATAAAATATCACATGATATTTTATCACATGATAAAGTGTGATAGGGGAGCCACAACCAAGTGAGAGCAGCCATGAAAATCCTAAAACAACAGGAAACTAGACACAGTGTAGTTTAGAGTCTTAAGGGGGCCTAATCATAGAAGCTCGTCAACATCTAACACCTTTTAGGGACTCTCAGGGGGTCACAAAGCAGGCAAGGCATGCAGCAGAAAACTACAGCTTCAAACTCAAAATTCTCTCACCTGTGTCACCTTTCTCCACCCCCATTGTCACCTCCCCAGTGTCAAAGGTATCCATCTTCAGTCAGCTACCATCACTCCCCTTCTCTGCCTCTATCCTAGCTTTCTCTTTCCTGAACACCGCAAGCTCCTGTTACCTAAAGACTTCTCCCTCCTCCTACAATATCCATCACATGACACCCCTCCCTTGGCTACCTTCAACTCCTCCTCCGAGTTGCTGTTTAAATGTTACTACCTCAGCCATGTTTTCCTTGACCACCTAACCTGAAGGGAACCCCTCACTATTCTGTCTCATGTTCTTGTCATCCCTATCACAATTTGAAATTATTTATTTACTTATGTGCTTATTTGTTAACACCGCCCGCCATCCTATACACTCCAGAAAGTCAGGGATAGGAACTATTTCCTTCACCACAATACACCCAGAACTCATACTGAGCCTGGCAAACAGCAAATTCAAAACATACTTGCTGAAGGAATGAATGCACAAATGGAGAGTTAAATCATGAAGACCCTGTGAGAGTGAGGAGGAACTTATTTCAAATACCTCTCCACCAGAACCAGAATAAATCAGGATCTGTTTCCAGCGGGACACGGCCATTCTGTGTGTATACAGAGCTCACAGGAAGCAGCAGGAGGGCCAATGTGTGCTGCCTTCTGCATACATGAAGATTTTGTTTTGTGTTTCTTTGCAGATTCTTGGGACTTTACTAGAGGGTGTCACAACTGCAAGTGGCAATTACCCAAGAGCTTTCAAGTCTGTCTACAGAGATATGCAGACATTGCCCTTCTGGCATCTTCCTCCACCTGACTAGGCCACATCCCACAAATTGCCATCACTTGGGTACCCTTTATTTTACA